GTAGCAAAAAGTACGGCCTTCCAAGCGTACACATGGATTTCCCGCAAACGTTATGGACCGGATACTCCTCAGATGTGACAGAAAGTGAGCCTGGAACTCGGAATCTAGTACAACAACAAATCTGACAATTTCTATCTAGCCGAAAATAAGAATTAAAAAGTACCATGAGCTAGAAGGCAAATACCTCTCTCAAATCGGTGATCAAATTTTCTCCGATATCGATATTTTCCAGGTATTGTGGCATTGTGCGATGGATTTCACTGAGGCTGCTAATTTGATTGGCATGCAAATTCACAGTCCGTAACAATGGCAGTTTGCTCAAATTGGGCAAATCATTTAGGCGGTTGTTCGAAATGTCCAAATATGTTAAATTGGTAAGCCGATTGAGCAAAGGAATTGCCTAAAATCCATCATATTCTATTAGTGCGTGGGAAATATAACAAAAGTTACACTACGAAGGACTGCTGAAACTGATAAATGTGAAGAACATGTATTAACCAAGCATGTGTACAAAGTGCAGTTGCAGGTGAAACCGATTCTGTGTCAAAGGTTGAGAGTCAACTCTACCTTTAGGGAAGATCAGTCTCTTTACGATTTTTTCATCCGATTCAATGATAAACTGGTACAGCGGCATGCCATGGAATCAAAAGTGCCACTAATCTGCTTCTAAGCAGCCTCGAAAGGAAAGCCCTGAGAGCAGATGGGTGCTATTGACAACTGCTTTCACTAGAGCTATTTTTGGGTATCCCAATCTCATTCAAAGAAGCAAATCTGAAGAGGGATTTGAAATCATCATACGAAAACTAGTAAAACTTATGCACGTGAAGAAACCGGCAATGCTAATATGCCACAGTGATCAGATGTGTTGATATGAATGTGGCAAACAAACCCTCTGAGGCAATCAAAAGCCGAACCTCAATGTGATTATAGGCAGCATTAAGCCATACGAGCTCAGTAAGCGTTGCTAAATTGTCACATCTGGAGATGACGTTATGCGAAACATCGAGATGTTTCAAGGCACGTGCGACGGGCACGAAACTTGCAAATCGTTCCAGCACATTAAAACTCGCATTCACCTATTAAAAAAATCACTTTGTTATTGGAAAAATAAAGTGATTTAAAGCATTTGGAAAGAATGATGCACGAAATAGGTAAATCAAAAATGTGGCTGATTAATAAAACCGACAAAAAGCCAATTGGCAATACACTAAATTAGAAAAACAAAAATCACAGTGGAAAAGAAATGAAATTACACCAAAAAAAGTTGATAAAAAAAAGTGTGAAAAAACAGTCTTTTCAATTTAACTGCAAAACACCGTCTCAAAAAGAGACCAAAAAAAGTTGGGTGATATGAAGTCCTCCTGCTTCACATCTTCCGATCGGCACATGGAAAGTTTTTTGACGGAAGAAAGTATTATTTTTGACGAATAGTCTACATTAATGATTTTCACATAATTCTAATCATCCATATGATTTGCAAGAGTCAGCGATGTACAATTCAACCCATCGATATCGAACGCCTTTTCTTAGACAAAGAAGGAAAAACAGAGAGGGAATTGGCACTGTTTTAAGAGAATCACTGGATGGTTTAAGGTGCGTCCGTTATATTATAAATAATTCGGGATCCAGCTCACTCCTCTTACTGGAAACTAACCAGGAATTGTCTTATTCGGTAAATAATCCTCCTCAGCAGCATACACGCTAGGACTAATAAACACTTCGGGCGACGGCCTTCCGGACCTTCCTTACTGGCCTCTTTATGTTGCAAAACGGTTTTTGATTCTTTCCAAATGTAACTCTATCGAACGGCAAAAGTTTACCAATAATTTTTTGGTTTTTTAAATAAGAT